GCGCGGCTGAGTGATGCCAATTTTGCCATCTTTACAAAAACCTGGAAACAACAAACAGACGAAAGTTGGTCATCGTTTTCATTTAATGGTCGCCACACGTCGCACTATTCCGACGGTTCAGTTCAGGTACACTGCACTTATATGGTGAATTTACGTGCAGAATTATTGAGTATGTCTGTTTGACAGTAAAAGTCAGCTTACCTGCTTCACGCAGGTACTGTGGGAGTTGTGTGGTTTTCCCGCTGCCAGTCTCACCGGTGACCACCAGGAAGCTGCAGTCTCTGACAGCTTGAATTAGTTTGCTTTTGTGCTGGTAGATGGGCAGACGTTTTGACTCGTTTTCTTTTGGGCTCCATTTCGCTGATTTGGACATAACCGACAAAACTGCGTGTGGTGAGCCGTGCGAGCAGTTAAACACGTGAAACACTGACCTTAACAGCGCAGAGCACACTGAAATTAATCTTTGTAGCCAGAGTCTTTATAAAACTTTAGAGAGTTTCAGCTCATTTAAAAACTTGGTCCTCTCGTTTCGAAGGCGACACGCTACTTCCTCGACTTCCGCAAACTAAAGTCATTCTATATTTCTATTGGTCCTGTTTTGGACACATGACCTAGGCACCTTCACAATAAAAGTAGATGGATTTTTTTTTTCTATTTTTACTTTTATTGAAATTAAAACTTAATGAGAGGGAAAGTTGCCAATCCACCCATAAATCTATATAAAACCGTAACCCCACCATGTATTAAAATATTTTCTCTTTACATTACTCTTTATAAAAGCAGTAACAGGATCTCTTACAAACCACATTATTATAACAACCTCTTATTAAATGTAAGCAATATACATTTTTACCTTAGTGCTCTAAGGATCCATTTCTGGATATCATCATGACGTAACTAATTTCTATCTAAGACAATGATTTGATGAACTTTAATAAAAACAACTCCCACACGTACAGTGCATTTTACTTCCTGTGGGAAGTGAAATTTATATATTTAGTAGATGCAACATGTATCACTTTAAAGAAGTCAAAAACAAACGAAGAAAGAAAACAGAATTATTCCATCACTAATATATCTACAGATCAAGTCAGGACTTCTCTTGGGATTTACTCTTCACGTGACCTGTTGAAGTGAAAAACAGAACTGTTGTTTTGTATTGTTTGTCACATACTGATAGATAATTCTGAATATTTAGGATAAAACATATCCATTGACTAGTCTGCTACCGTGCTGATGATCTTTAAGGTGGAGATACCATGACTGTGACTTTGACATGAATGTCCCAAACTGGGGTATCAGAATCAGGCACAGCAGCTCCCTTTGAGAAAAGCTTGCTTTCTCTCCCTATTCATCTCCTGAACCTGAAAGTGTTTCAGATGTATTATTGGCTAAACACAGATATGAGTTATTCTTAAGGAAAAGTGTACCTCCACTGATTATTGCTACTAGATTTTTTTATTTAATTGATATAATAATAGTCAAAACAGTATGGGGAAGTCACTGATGGTATGAAATCAGTGTGTGATGTTCATCATGTGACAAATGACGACTAACAGCATACTACAGCAGCAGGATTGTATGTCCGTCTGCGTTCATAAGCAGCAGAACTTTTTTTCTTATAATGAAGCCTGTAAACTGGCTTCTGTATTATCTGCTAACATTATACTGAGTATATAATTACATATATGCTCTTCCAATTTCCAAGCTGCAGCTGAGGTCTTTAAAACTAAAAGTGAAAAGATGACACTAAACTGCAAATTTGATTAGGTATTTTTGGGAATGAATAGTGAAGTTAATAAGGTCTGTGTATGTTTTAATTGAATGTAACATATACATTTCTTTTATTTACCTTAGTCTTTTTGTAGTTGTAGTGTCAACTATAATTGCTGTATTTTTACAACAGACCTTCTCTTTTGAAACCACTGCAATCAATTCACACACACACACACACACACACAGTGCAAGAAAGTTGGGTGTCAATATAATATCAAAGAGTTAGAGCTATGCATAAACCACAGTGAGGTGTGAAACAAAAGACCAACCCCCATGTCTCATTTCAGAAGTAAAAAGTATATGTTACTTGTTACACATGTATAGAAAAAAATGACATTAAGTGCTGTTCACCTTTGCCTACTTTATAATTATACTGGGAAAAAGGAAGACAAATACCTGTGCGAATTTACATTGATTTATTTTCTATTTCCTTTATAAACATAATGACGTTTGTAAGGAAAAGAACTGCAAGAAATGAGATCAGGGTAACTTAATGCTACAACAGAGTTAACAATCTAATTTTCTTTTTTTTATCTGCACAATTAGCTAAATAATTCTTTGTGGTTGTCTTTTGTCTTCTGCATCCTCTTTGGGGGGTTTTTTCTTCTTATGAAGATGAAAGTGAGAAGGAGGAAGTTTTCAGTAGCCCTTCATTTTTCTGCTCCTGTACATTTAAAAAAAGGTGTTGTTTTTTTTTTATCATATATTCCCCAGATATAGAGCACATTGTATCTTCTTGCCTGACTGATAATTGTTGATTATTTGAAACTCACAGCAAAAGTACTATTACATATAGGAGGCTTGCAATATTGCCCAAGAAGCCACAGCCTAAGAAAATTATTTCAGTAGTCTAACCTATTTTCTTCCGTGATGCACCTGCATTTTTTTGTGTGTTTTTTGTTTTTTTGTTTTTTACATCAGGCTATTAGACAATACAAAATGAAAATTTTAGACTGGTTGGGGTTCATTTAAAAATACATTTATATTATGAATTATTAAGTATCTGTTGTACAAAAGTCTGAGGAAAAAAGATTTTTCTCTCTGTAGAGCAGGACGGACAAAAGAACATTTCCTTTTGTCTGGCCTTCATTTCATTACAAGATCTGAAATGAATGCTTACCCTCACTATCTGCAGTTGTGGGACTGTTTGCACTGTCCTTTGTTTTGTTGTTACAGTGAGCTGAAATATAAATGAAACAGGTGTTAAATTACTAATCAATCCCCAACTAACCAGATTCTTTTACCTCTTTATTGATGGAGAATGTCAGACATAATGTTTCCTTACAAATGCATTTGTAGCAGCAGTAGCCACCAACACACAGCAGAAGGACAGCAGCCACACGAGTAACAATGGAAATCAGTGGCTGGAAGCCTTGGCTTGAACCTGCATGATAAGTTGTGGTTTTATGAGATGTTTTCAACAGGAAACAGCATTTGTCCTGTGTTAGGCTGTGAAGTTTGTGACCCCGGCTGCTCCTTCATGTTGAATAGTTTTTTAAAAAACAAACAAACAAACAGACATGAACTTACTTAGGCCTGTTTCTGGCAATTGCACTTGAACACACTGCCGCCCACAGTGGTAACATCCAAGGTCAGATATTTCAAGTTCATCAATTCTTATAGAGTAGTTCCCGTCGATTTGCTCGTTTGAAAAGACTTTAACTCGGCCATTCCTGGGGTCCAGGAACTTAACATGCCCTTGAGATGAAAGCTGGACCATCTCTGCCTGCTTTGTGGCAGCGTGGCTCCATGTCACCCAGTTGGAGCTGTGTGGTTGAAGGTTACATGGTAGGAGCACAGACGTGCCAATTGAAACGGTCATACTGATCTTCTCACAGAAGTCTTCAAAATGCCCACAAGATTTTTCATCTTAAAGGGAAAAATGAAATACAGTCAAGTATGATCATTTCATATTCTGATGAAAAAAAGCCAACACAAGAACCTCTTTTTCATCCTTACAGCAGCTATTCGCAACTCTTATGTTTTCAAATAACTTTAAAAAAGTACATTTTTAAAATGTATGAATTATTATGACAGAAGGAATTCAGCAGGCGAGCTAAAATAAAATGTTTCAATGACACAGCTGATTTAGGCCATTAATATGACCTGCCTACATAACAGGAAAAAACTGACCCTATGATACTATATTTAAAAAATGTATTTTTTGTTCTTTGATTTTTTTCTTCTTTTTTTTATTGAGGAAAAATGTTGGAATATATATACAGTTAAAAATTATTTTCGAATAATTTCTGCACACCTCAGAGCTCACACTAATGAAGACACCTGGTGCACCGACTCAAGAAAACTTTGCATGCATTACTGTAAAAAAATACAGTAATTGATTAATTAATATGAATTAAGTCAGACACCCCTGCTATCTCAATATAAATGTTTTAATTACTGTTTTAATCACTTTACATTACACAAATGAACTTTAGTATAATTTCAGACTAATTGTAAACACTGGTCTTTCTACATGTTTATTCTTCTATCAAGTTTAGACAATTTTGAAAGTATATCAACTGTGAATACAAGATGAAGATGAAGATGGAAATCAGATCAAAAACCAGACAAAGCAGATGCGGTTCTCTATTTTGCTATTGCTTTGAAATACAATTTGAAATGATTTTGGATGTCACCATTAATTTTGACAACATATATTTAAATTCTAAAAATATGTTAGACATGTTAGACGATGCTATGAAGCTCAGGAAACATATAACCAAAAATATGCAATCAAAAGAATAATGTACAATATATATTTTTAAAAAGCTGATGTTTGTGTTGTTGCTCGTGTTGTAGTATTTATTTCTTTTAATTTTTTAGCAAAACTGATTTTTTACATGAAAGTTTATTAGCATGTATTCACACTTTTTAAAGGTTTGAAAAAATCACTTACCATTTAGAGACACACAGATGAAACACAGGGCAAAAACGAAACTCCACCCGGCAGCGTGCATCTTCATCAGCATCTCTAACAATGTAAGCTGCCACCTGGTAATGCTTTAGTAAACCCTTTAAGCTTCACAGAAGAAAACCACAAAACCAACAGTTTCATGCATCTAACAAAATGCTTTGCTCTATTAACCTTCACACAACAGCTGCCAGATGTCGATGTGAGTTCAGGCAGTATTTTTTTAATTTTATTTTTAATTTTATTTTTTTACAACAAGTACAGAGAGAAAATAAAAAATAAAATAGCTTTTGATTGGTTCTGTCACTGATGTTTGGACTGTGTTTGCCTGCCAAAACCCCATTTTAATCCTTGAATAAAGAAAAACCTGAAGCCAGTCCAAAGTGACAGACTAGAAAGTAGAGTGGGATCTCAAAATGCTGTGTAACAAAAGAGGTGTGAATTTCATTCTTTATTTTGGATTGTTGTTGTCTGTCCCGTTAACCAGCCAGTACAGGTGAGGTATGGAAATAATTCTGAAGCATGTTTTGTTCAACAGCGTGCCCTCATTCACTTTTCTCCTGAGCTCGAGGGTGTTGGAGCTACACTATAGGCTATATACAAATATGATTTAATGCATTAAACCTTAAATTCCATTTATGGTTTAATGGAAGTTGTATCTCCATTGATCATCATCCTGCAAATTTCTTCTTTGATTTATTTAATAATAGTCCAAAACAGTTCACAGAACATTATAATGATTCAACCAGAAAGTAAGGCATAGACCTGTGTTACAATGATGGAACACACAGTTCACCAAAAAACAATTTAAAGGAAAAAGTAACCACAAGAAATCAAATTAAGTTGGATTATATACAAAACGAAAAAGTAACAGAGCAGAATTAACAATGATTTTTTCTTTTTAGCTGTGAATAATTTATTTATTTGTTGAATATATTTTATCATTATTCTTTGCGTTCTTTTTAGGCTTTTCTTCTTTAGTTTTTGTTTGTTTTCCCCCCTCTGCTGAAGATGAACATGTAGGAGTGGAAAATTCTGTTGTCCTTTACCTTTTTGTTCCTGTACACAAAGAACAGATTTTATTTTACACTTCCCAAACACAATCATTATCATTATGTTTCTGCCTGAGTCACACAGATTATTTAAAATACACATAAATATGTCAACAGTCACATCATTATATACAGGAAGCTTACAATATTGCTTTATAATCAATGTTGTAAGGTAAATTTTACCCACTTAGCAATTCAACCACCCAGATTCTTTTACCATCTCTACTGAATGAGAATGTCAGACATGTCATGTTCTCACCTATGCATTTCTTGCAGGTGTAGACGCCAACACACAGCAGAAGGAGAGCAGCCACACTAACACAGATGTAAATCATCTGCATGTCCCTCCTTGTACCTGCACGTGGTTCTACAACATATTAATCATAGGAAACAGTAGCTTATTCATTTGTCCTTTTGTGTATATTGAGCCTGAGGTTTGTGACCATAAAAAGGAAGAAACTGCAGGGTGCTGCTCAACTTAGCTCAAACAAATAAAAAAATCCACTTACCTACTTCAACCATCACCACTTGAAAACAGTTTTCACCTTGTATACAGGAGTAACATCCGAGGTCTGTTAACCCAAGATCATCAATTCTGATGGAGTAGTTTCCCTCCAAGCTCCAAAATGGAAAGGTTTTAACTCTGCCATTTCTGGGGTCCTGGTACTTAACATGTTGGGAATGTGGCTCCATGTCACCCAGTTGGAACTGGCTGGCCGAGCAGTGCATGGTAGGAACACAGATGAGCCAAGTGAAATGCTCAGTCTGCTCATGCTGCAAAATTCTCCTAAATCTTCACATGATTCTTCATCTGAAAGGGAAAATTAAATACGAGAATAAGTTCAGGTTACTCATTTCATATTCAAATGACTAAAGAGCAAGCAGAAGAACCTATTTCTCCTCCTTACAGTAGATCTCCAGACTTTATTTCTTCAAGTAAGCATTAAAGGATGTGAATCTATTAAATATAAATCTTATTTATCTGTATTGCTCAGTACCAGATATATAGTTAAAAATGCAGAGAAAATATTTGTATTATTATTAGTTTAGTATCAGCAGTGATAAAAGTTTCTCCTGTATTTTCTTTAAGCTTCGTGACTAATCTGTAAGATTTCGGTTTGATTCTCCAGGATATCATGACTATAGTCACGATTTTGAGTTTGCTTTCTAAATGCTTCTTCATACTTCAGAGTGCAAACTTCCTCCTACAGTAAACAAGATCACACAACATTGGACAAAAAAGTTTCTATTTATTTTGTCTGTTCACATTCTATTCACGTTTAGACATGTTTGAAAGCAAAAAGGCGGAAGACGCAAGATAAACAGGTTGCAAAAATCCTGGAAATTCATCCGCTTCGAATGTTATCAGTGACAACATCTGGAGCGGGTGGAAAGTTCTCACTGAGTTTATGTTATGTGCTTTATTTCAATGAAAGCTATGCTCTGAGAGTTCTGCTCTGAGTTTTTTGTTAATCAAATGGTAGAGAATTTAATACGTTATGACATGTCTCATGAATGTTAGTTGATAGTTTAACGATGTAAATACATTAAGAGTAACTTTCATCAACAGATTTCTGAACTGTTCACCAAGTTTAAATAGTCAATCAAAAGAACTTTCAAAAGCGTGTATTGATCAAAAACGTTTTCTGATTAGACCTTTTTTTTTTTTTTACACTTTTCACAGAAGCACTTGCCATTTGAAGACACACAGACGACCCACAGGGCGAAAAGAAAAATCCACCTTGCAGCGTGCATCTTCATCTGCATCTCGTTATATAAAATCATCTAGCTGGTGATGGTATAACGTCTTTAGACAACAAAACAACGAAGTTTGGGCTTGGACCGCCTCCTTGCTTTAGATTTCTTCTTAAGGCCCTTTCACGTGGGACGCGGCATGCGCAGCGCTGCGCTCCGAAGCGACCAATAGAAACGAAGCTTAGAACCGCGCTAAGTTCAACCACACAATGAACAAAAACATTCTGTGCATACCCGAGGCTTAGAGTGGCATGGAAAACAGAGGCATTTCTTTACACATCCAGGTGTTGAGTGTTATATGATATGTATGGTTTAAATATAATAAATGCAGCAAGTACGTTTCATATATGGGAAGTTTGTAACTTTCTTATTGACTTTAGCTCATATAATTAAACACTTCAGTTAAAAAATGTGAATGTTGATTCTGTGTACTGTATATCCTATGTAATAAACAAGCATGTAGCCCA